CTGAGCCCCCTGCCTTGGAAGTGCGGAGTCTTAACCACTGGATCACTAGGGAAGCCCTCTCCTGGGTTTTCTCATGGCTTCTACTCAACCTCCCATCTGTTGCTTCCTTAAACGTTGGTCCCCGGCGCATCTCCTCTCTATGCTGACTTGACTGTTCTTTCAGTCATTGCACTGCACTCTCCCATCCAGCTCCATGACTTCCCCCTGCCCAGGGTGCCGGCCTTCAGCAGAGGGCTCGTGGAGGAAGTGGGCACTGAAATGTATTGCCATAGCGACTGTTCATGAGACACTCTCCCTGGCACCAGCAGAGTGCTTTTCATTGCTGTTTTCATCTCCTCTCAACCCCAAGAAAGACCAGTCACTGGCCTGACGTGTAAATAAGAAAACAAGGCTTAGAGGGCATATGTGACCTACGCTGTGTTCTTTTAACTTCATGATGTGTTACTTTTTTTTTTGAGACAGGAGTTTTGATTAAAAATTTTTTTTTCATTTTTAAATTATGAAAGTATGATAAAACATAGGAAACTTGGAAATACAGAACAGGGTTACATATAGTTCTATATATTAAAATTATCTTTTTAAGTAGATTAAGATTTTTAGTTGGTGTTTCAATATCAAACTCTCAAAAGTTAATAGAATGAATATACAGAGAAGTAGAAGGATATAGTAGACTTGAAAAGCACTATGAACCAGTTCCACATAATTGAGATTTTATACAGTATTCAAGTTCCCATAGACTGTAAACCAGGATACACTGGAACATATCCAGGGACATAAAACATGATGTACTATTTTTAAGAAGGAACCTTTTGAGGGTAGATAACAGGAAACTGGGTGTTGGTTACACGGAGGTTTATTATATTCTTTCTCTGAAAAAGAAAAGTAACCTTTTAAGGCTTAGTGATACAAAGTGCAGAAGTACATTTAAAAATTTAATATGGGGTACAGGATGTGAAAAAGATTGATCTGTCTTAGCCCTACCTCTTTAATCCCTAGAGGATGAAACAAATTATCATGTTTGGTGTATATCTTCCATTTTATATGTATTTATATATATTTATATGTATGTATACAGTCCATGGAGTCAGACACGACTGAAGCGACTGAGCACACATGCATACACATATTTACATATTTATTTATTTTGCACATGTGCAAGTGTGCCTTTAGAATTCCATTAAGGAATTACTGAAAACAGTATATGCAAACAGTATACGGTTAAGACTCCTTAGTTCCACTGCAGGCACTGCAGGTTCAATCCCTGGTTGGGAAACTAAGATCCTGTGTGCCATATGGTACAGCCAAAACAAAAACCAAAATCAATATATGCACTTAAAATGTTGAAATGTCTGCCCTCAAGAAGACTACATGAATGTTCACCCACCATGACTTTGGAATATAGGACGAATCTTTTTTGGAAGCAGGTGGGATAAAAGTAACAAATGAATGCTTAAAAAAAAAAAAGAGCCCTCAGCCGGGGAGAGAAGTGACTTGGGTACTAGGGAAATTACTAGCTTTCAGTTTCCCAGACCACAAGGCCCGCCTGCAGTCCCAGCCACAACCCACCGATTCAATGGATGCCACCTCAGGGAGGCAGCAAGAAGGACTGAACTTCCCTGTCTCAGCAGAAAAAAGCCCTGTGATGTCCTGCTTACCTTGGCTGCACCAGCTCTGGGCCCCACCTGCCTGGCCTGATTTGAGGCCGACTGCCTGGCAACTCTGAGACTGTCCTGGAAAACAGCCACTGTCACACCTCTCAGAAGAAACTAACCAGCTGAAGGAGAGGGACCTGAAGAGGAACCAAGTTGGGATGAAAGGGAGGCCAGCCTCTCCACTCCTGTCTTCCCATGTTCTGGCCCAGGCAGACACGGGGGCTGTTATTTAATGCAGTAAATCTATATTTTCCTTTTTCCACCAAACAGGGAATGAGAAGACGTACTTTTCAAAAAACACTTTTTATTTAAGAGCCTTTTGATATAGCTAAGGAAGATTCAGTGAGGAGAGGCAGATTGGAGTTTACAGCCCTGATTTTTCCAACTCCTTTTTAAAAAGGAATAATCACAGATATTTTTCTTTCTTTTTGGTGTGCTTGCTATTCTCCTAAAGACATAATCTTTTTAACCACAGTTTACAGACAGTGATCAGAGAGAGTACAGGCCTCAACTCCCATATATGGCAGTATTTATTTAAATTTCTTTTTGAACAGAAAAAAGTGATCCAGTCTGAGGTAGCTTTCAAGTTTTTAAGAGATAATAAGGCTACTTTGACTTAGAATTCTACCTCCGAGACACAGATCCAAAGTTAGTTATTTCAAAGTAAACAAGCAGCCCATGATCATGTGCTTCTTGTGATAAAATAGCATAGAAAAAAATAAAAAATAAAATAGCATAGAAGCAGCTCAAGAGTGTTGAAAGAGAATATATCCCCCTTCAGTCCCTTCTAATACTCTGCTCCCCAATGGGAACCTCACTTAATACTTCATATCCAAACTCCTTCCATTGCAGTCACATACAAATATTCATGTACTTTTAAATTTTAAGTGAATGGGATTGTATGCCTTGTCCACCTCCCCCCACAAACTTAATCTATCTTTGAGGTCTCTCCATACTAGTACATGGAGATGGATCTCATTCTTTTTAACAGCTGTATAACATGAAGAGATGCAACTTACTGTTAACTTTTCAGTGTTAGAATGGTCTGGCATCTTTGTGAATACATATCAGCTAAATTCCTGGATGTGAATTGCAAGTAAAGGGGTCAACACGCTTGTCATCATCCCTAAAAAGAGAAAAGCCGGGATCCAGGTAACTTGAGTTCTGGTGCTCTGAGAACAAAGATTCATGGAGCAAGTGATTGTGGGAAATGGCTGTATGCTCACCCCCGCCCCGCCCATCACCATCTTAGTGATTCACAATCAAATAGCATATTAACAGTTCTGGAAATTCTTCAGTAGTCACTTACCGCTGAGTAGTTTAAAAAGAATTGTTTGCAAAGGGAAAGAGCTTAATTCTCTGTACACATCTTAAAATTCCCTGAACAGTTTGAGAAGTCCCATCCAGGGCGGAGGAGGGGGGTAATCTCTCCAAGACAGGACAGTGTTTTGATAGGAACTTGACCACATACTGTTTCACCCTGCTGGGCAACTGAGGTGGAGTCAGGTTTGGATTTTATCCAGAAACCAGATGAGGCTTATCAGCTGCTCCCAAACCCCTCATATCAAGTGAGAGGACCCAGCAAGTCCTGCATAAATCCAGTCTTTTGAGGCTAAGACTCAAAAGAGAGTCTTAGAGAGACTCGCAGAGAGATGGGTAGAGTTTCACTTTGGCCTGAGCCTAACAGGTGACATCAGCCTTGCAGACACATTTTGCAGCAGTCAGGCCAGGGGCCTCCCAACACAGAAGAGAGCGAATCCGGAAGTGAGCAAAGGAGCCACGTGGGGTGTGAGAGAGCAGCATCTTCCCCCTCCCACTCACCTCCAGTTGACTTAACGTGAATTCCCAATTTCAGTGCAGACATTACCCCTGAAGCCTCTCTCCCACCCCCCAGACCTCTTCTGTGTACTCTGGTAGCACCTCTGCTGCCACAGTTAGCAGTCTGGTTTGTCTTCTAGTTCATTCACACTAGGCTGGTCAAGAGGAAGGGCCATGTAGTGAATTATGTACCTCAGTCTTCCCCAGCAAAGTGGGAGCTCTTCCACATCACCGTGCTGTGCAAGCCTTCCTTCACTCATTCATTCATTGTCAGTCAATCATTACTGAGCACCTGGTGTTTTCAAATTGTGCCGCTGGAGAAGACTCTTGAGAATCCCTTAACAAGGAGAGGAAACCAGCCAATCTTAAAGGAAATCAAACCTGAATATTTGTTGGAAAGACTGAATCTGAAGCTTGAATACTTTGGCCACCTGATGCGAAGAGTCGACTCACTGGAAAAGACCCTGAGGCTGGGAAAGATTGAGGGCAGGGGAAGGGGGCGACAAAGGATGAGATGGTTGGATAGCATCACCAACTCAATGGATATGAGTTTGAGCAAGCTCGAGGAGGCAATGAAGGACAGGAAAGCCTGGAGTGCTGCAGTCCATGGGGTCTCAGAGAGACAGGACTTAGCCACTGAACAACAGGCATAGCCCAGTTCAGTTCAGTAGCTCAGTTGTGTCCGACTCTGCGACCCCATGAATTGCAGCACGCCAGGCCTCCCTGTCCATCACCAACTCCCGGAGTTTACTCAAACTCATGTCCATTGAGTCGGTGATGCCATCCAACCATCTCATCCTCTGTCGTCCCTTTCTCCTGCCCTCAATCTTTCCCATCATCAGGGTCTTTTCAAATGAGTCAGTTCTTCACATCAGGTGGCCAAAGTATTGGAGTTTCAGCTTCAGCATCAGTCCTTCCAAAGAATATTCAGGACGGATCTCCTTTAGGATGGACTGGTTGGATCTCCTTGCAGTCCAAGGGACTCTCAAGAGTCTTCTCCAACACCACAGTTCAAAAGCATCGATTCTTTGGTGCTCAGCTTTCTTTATAGGCTGCCCAAATACAGTGGTGAATACAGCAGACTCAATCCCTGCCCCCTTTCATATTCTTATATTCCTTGTAGCCTAGTTCAATGTCTAGCCCAAAGCCTGACGCAGTAGGGTTTAAGAATGGCAATCTAATCGGAAAGCTGCTTTTGCACAGCAAACACAGTCTTACCTTCTAGGCTGCAGATGAAAACACATTTTCTCAAGATGCCTTGTTTACATTTTACGTGCTAGAAAGTCATTTGACCGTACGAAATATATGTTAGATGTTTGGGGTGACTTCGGGGGCCAAGGGGAGAGTCCGAAGTACTAAGGTGGCGGCCCACCTGGCCGGACCAGCGCTGGAGGGGCGGGCGGGGTGGCGCCATCGACGCGGCTCGCAGGCCCTGCCCACCTCGGCCCCGCCTCCAGGTCCCGACCCGGTCCCGCCCCCTCTCTCCATAGTTACGGCTGCGGAGGCGGCGGCCATCTTGGCGGCAGAGCGATGAGCGGGTCTAATTCGAAGGCTGCGGCCGTGGGGTCGGCCCTTGGGCCCGGGGGGCTGGTAACTGGCAAGGAAGACAAGAAGAAGGCGGGCGGCGGCGTCCTAAACAGGCTCAAGGCGCGGCGGCAGGCGCCCCACCACGCGGCAGACGACGGCATCGGGGCAGCGGTCACGGAGCAGGAGCTGCTGGCTCTGGACACCATCCGGCCCGAGCACGTCCTGCGCCTCAGCCGGGTCACCGAGAGTGAGTGCGGGGCCGGCCGCGTCCTCCCCTCGGCGCCGGGCCCCCGGGCCCCGTGTCGCCTTCCGCGGAGCCGGCCGCTCGCCGCTCGGCGGGTCCAGGGGGTCCACCCAGGCGCCCCCGACTGGCCAGGCCTCGCTGCCCACTGCTCCGCCCGGCCGAGTCGGCGCTCCCCACCTTCACCTACACCTGGTTGGGATGGGTCCCCTTGAGCTCGACTGCCCTCCCCTGACTCCGGCCACGCCAGGCTTCCCTGTGGCCCGTCCCAGTTTGGCCCTCAGGCCCGGCCGACCGTTCTCCTCCTCCGCTGGATCTCTTTGAGTGGGGACGGACCCCGTCTTGTCTTCTTAACTAGCTCCTGACCCTGGCAAGTGGGCCGCTGCCTCTCCCCCACTCCTGCAGCTCCCAGCTCCCTGCTATCAGTGAAGTTCCTGCTCAGCTTGGTCCCCTCGACCCGAGCCAGCCTCTGCTGCCCTCTGCCAGTGCAGACTCCTACCTGCTTTCTCCGCGTTTCCCTCCACTCTGGCCCCCCGGACAGCCCTCCAGGTTCCATTCCACCCTGCCTTGGCTCCCTGCCTCGGGCCCCTGCCTGTTTTGGGTCCCAAGCGGTGCCCTCTTTGTGTGCAGGTGGACTCTTCCTTAAGTACATTGCCGCGGCGTTTCCTGCCGCATTTATATGTAAACAATGTATATATTAATAAAGTTTCAGTTCCACGTATAAAACCAGAATGTGAATCCTGCTTTTGACACTTGTTCTAGTGGTTGCAGAATACGTCAGAGTATCAGAAATGCATTTCTTGCATAGAATGCAGCGGTTTTACACCTTTTATTGATAGAAGAAATATATAGCCTGCTCGCTGTCCTGGTTCTCCTCCCTCTTCCTGTTCTCTTCCAGGTCATCCTCTGACTTGATGCCCTTTCTCTTGCTGCTATTTCCCCCTGAGTTTCCAGTCCGTAGGTTCGATCCTGCTTGCCCAGCCCACCCACCTGCCCCATCCTCTAGACTTCTAACTTTGAAGGCCCAGCACCAGCTTGATGGATTAAGGCTGCTCTCCTTTTATCTGTTGACTTGCTTTGGTCGGCAGCTCAGGTGGCCCTCAGGAAGCTGAAGGCCACCCCAGTGATTTGAGGATGGCAGTTTGAGGGGACGGGCCTTGGTTCAACCTGTGTGAAACGGAATGCTCATCTTCTAAGACAGTTTTAATTTGATTCTGAGTATTCATGTGTCCGTTTTCAGTCACTGTTTGGCTCGGGACTATCCTTTGCACACCTGAGTGTGTCTTTAGGAGATCTTGCTATTCTGTTTCATAGAAACATTGTGAAAAAGCTGCTTCTGATCTGACCCAGTTATCACCAGGGGTTCTGAAAGTACGGAAATGCTCACCACCTCACCTTTACTCACCTCCTGCTTTCTCGTGATAGCAAGGGTGAGTCCAGCCGCTAGTGCCTGATGCTGAGTGGCATGCTCAGAGGGCACTCAGGCCCTGTGTAGGAACTTGAGCTTGGTACCGTTGCTTCAGAACACCTCTGCAGCTTCTTGGAGAAAGTAGTAAGTCAGCTTGGTGATCTCTGGATTTTGTTACTTAAAGTCTGTTCCACTTAGCAAGGTATTTATTGAGGCCCCTGTAAAGGGGTAGAACCAATATCAGTGCCTTGGGAAGTTATGGAATAATCAGTAGCTCTCAATTTTGCCATCTTATCGGAGAGTCAGCTTGTGAAACACGAAACGGCGAACACAGCAGACAGTATAAAGTACCAAAGTGAACTGTGGAGAAGATGCTCTCAGGAGTCATCGTGGAAAGAAAGAAATGAAATCATCTTTGGTCAATACTATCTTGATTAACATGTTGATGAAGCTATTGGAGGCTCCATTTCCCTTTGGCCTCATGCCCTCTCCAGCAAATCTGTCCTGCCACCTGGGTGGGTATGGCCCACCACCTGGTTTTGTGCAGCCCACAATCCAAGAATGATTTTTATCTTTTCAAATGGTTGGGGGAAAAACTCTCTTGGGACACACAGTTATATAAAATTTGTATTTTTTTGTCTGCAAATAGTTGTGTGACTGCATTTGTGCTACAGTGACAGAGTTGAGTAGTTGTGATGTGACTGTGTGGCCTCAAAAACTAAATTACTCATTTTCTGACCCTTTACAGAGAAAGTTGGCTGATCTCTGCTTTGTGATACCCTCAGCAAGCATGCACCATGTTCACTGTTACGTGTGTGCGTGTGTGCTCGCTCAGTCACGTCTGACTTTTAGGTCAGCATAAATGTTTCCAAACGGATTTCTAAAAAAGTTCTGTTGTGTTGTGACTTCTAATGAAAGGTTTGTAGGTAATTTTGAAGTGTTTCCAAAGAAATTCTCTTCTACCATCCCTGTTTCTAAGTGTTACGATAATCTTCCATCTAAACCAAGTCCATGCAGTTTTCTCCTTTCTTGGATCCCATAATTCTCTCCACACAACTTTTGCCTGTAACATAGAGGAAGTTTTGGGGTATATTTTAAGTGAATTATGTAAGAAAAAAACAACCTGAGTTTGCTTCACAACTTGAGAAAGAAATGGTAGTTTTGGAGGATTATTTAACAACATTGGTTTCTCTCTCTCTCATTTTCAGATTATTTATGTAAACCCGAAGACAATGTCTACAGTATTGATTTTACCCGCTTCAAAATTCGAGATTTGGAGACAGGGACAGTGCTGTTTGAGATTGCCAAACCTTGTGTTTCAGGTAGGTCTCAGGATCGTACCAACAGTAGTCAGTTGACCGCTGGAGCAAAGAGCCTGAGGCTTGAGTTTTTGCACGCCATCGCATCCTGTGTCACTGACGCCAGCAAGGCCTGCCTCCGAGCCGCCTCCTAAAGCCTGTCCTGCGGGCTTGAAGCTGTGCTTGTTGAGTATCTACTCTGCAGTGGTTACCGGTTCCACAGCTTTCTGTTTATGTCAGCTCATGGGGTCCTCACACCTCTGTGAGGGGTTATTATCCTTATCTTACAGATAAGGAAGCTGAGGCCCAGAATTTCCAAGTGACTTTCCTAAGGTCCCATGCTCTTTGATCTGACCGTGTCACCTCCACTTAGGAAGGAATCCTTGAAATGAAAGTATAATGAAGAAAGCCTGCCCGAGCCTTGCGTCCTGGGGACAGTCTGGAAGGGCGATAGGGAGGCTTCCAGTTCACATCGTGAGTTTCTCTTCTCACACCCTTTCCATTGAGTAGTGTCTCAGATTTCCTAGTTAGTCCCGGTTTGGATTTTAATCTCCAGCATTTTCTGGATGACCAGAAGGCCCAGGCCTGTGAACTCATTTGCTTGGGACCCCTTCAGTTAGCCTTGAAATAACACAGCTTGTGCTAGTGATGCGGTTCCAGGGCACTTCATTTCTGACTAGGGGACCACTTGTAGGTCTGGGGAGCATGTCACTGGAGATTGAGCGCCCCCTGGAGTTTGTTTTTAGAACACCAGCCCAGATAGTCCAGAGTTGGAGCCACAGTCTGTGTTAATGACTCTTTTTGCCAAGCTTTTTTCATCTATTTGCTATTCAGAAAGAGCCTGTAAATTTGGCAAGACAGCTGTTAATAACCAAGTAAGTCAGAGGCTTTCATGAAAAAGTCTCAGCCAAGACTAAGGCATCCGTCTCCTGACCCCACTTGAGATTCCTTGTGCTACCGTAATCCCGGACTGACCAGGGCACTAAAGACTTGAGCTTGAAAAAAAAAAAAAAAAAAGACTTGAGCTTGTAGGTACTTATCTTGTATTGGGAGGGTCAGGGCCACCTAATTTCCTGGGTCTGTAACCCCATTCGCATCTCTAAGCTTCCTGTCCTTGTGGTGTTAAGATGTTCCCAGGACCCAGGGAATACCAGGGCTACTTCCGGTGTATGGATTTGGATGAGACAGGACTGAGACTAGTCATTTTGGTACAAAACTGAACTGTCATGGGAAGGTCAGCATCAGACACTGTAAAAATACCGTGATTTTCAGCCCGTCCAGTCTTTAAGGATCTTGATTCACTAAGGCTCACGCCGAACCAGAGCCCTCCTGCAGCACTTTTCTGATGAGCTCGAATCCCCGAGATCTGCTCTATGTTTTCTTTCTGAATCCCATAGTTGGAGCCGGGCCTCTGGAGTCTTTACCTTTGAACTCCCGCTCTGTCTGGTTGTCCACTGCTCTTGGGATGTTTGATGCTGAAAAAGACTTCTCTTTTATTGTACCTTTGTTCAGCCTAGACCTGGAAAAAAATGCTCTTGCTGGACACTGGGTGGCTACTAGACACTGGGTGAACTCCTGGTTCACATTAGAGTGGCTCCCAGTTCCTTTTACAGATTCTTCATTCCTGGGTTCAGGAGTGGGCTAGACCAGAGCCCATCATTACTGGTGTGGACCGTCTCCTTTCTTGGGTCCCACATGTTGGTGCATGGCCCATCTGCTTCATGCTTCACCCTTTCCCAGATGGTCAGAGTGTTGGGCCTCGTATAGGCAGTAATCCAAGGAGGTGCAGTTCCCCAAGGCTGAAGGTCACTGTCTTTCATTTAAATAGCAGAATTATTTCTAGGGATTTGTCTTTGCTGTGTCAGAAATTTCTGCATTCTTTGAAAGTGCCTTCTCGATAGTTTCAACTTTTGCAGCCTCATTATTTTGCTTAGCAGCAAGCACATTAACTTGGTCAGCAGCAGACCTGGTCTGTATAGCACAGACCACCTCAGGGGCCTGGTACCTAGCTGGTCTTCCAGGCTTCAGCCTTAGGACATGGCCCAAGACCTCAGATTATATAAAAGGCAAATAACCTTGTGTTTAAGAATAGGCCTCGAGTCTGATGGGCCTGGATCCACATCCTTGCTCCCTCAATTTACTATAGGCTCACTTCGCTTTATTGAACTTCACAGATAGTGTGTTTTTTTTACAAATTGAAGGTTCATGGCAACCTTGTATTAAGTCTGTTGGCTCCATTTTTTCAACAACATTAAAAATTTTTTTTTTATTGAAGTATAGTTGATTTACAGTGTTGTGTTAGTTTCTGGTATATAGTTATACATATATATTTTTTCATTTTCTTTCCCATTATGGTTTATTACACGATATTGTATGTAGCAACATTATTTATTTTTTGCTCTCATGTGGCTTTGCAGGGTCTTAGTTCCCTGACCAGGGATCCAACCCATGCTGCCTGCAGTGGAACCACAGAGTCCTAACCACTGGACCACCAGGGAATTCCCAGCAGCAGTATTTAATATTTATTTATTCAATTTACTTCTTTGGCTGCTCTGAGTCTTAGTTGTGGCATGGATCTAGTTCCCTGACCAGGGATTGAACCCTGGGGTTTTGATTGAAGACTGGGGGACTTTGGACCCCTGAGCTCACCTCTCTGGGTCTGTACAGTGGAGATAAAATGAAGACAACAGCTCCAGGGTTGTTAGGACCCTGTGAGGTGTGCAGGATGGAGCCAGGCATGCCAGCAGGTGCTCAGTGAGTGCTGCTGTGGGTGTCGGTATCCCCGATTGGTCGTGCTCTTTGCTGAGCTGGCGTTCCGTGTGCCCTTACAGACCAGGAGGAAGAAGAGGACGAGGAAGGGGAAGCAGGCGGGGATGTGGACGTCAGCGCCGGCCGCTTCGTCCGCTACCAGTTCACACCGGCGTTTCTCCGCCTCCGCACCGTGGGTGCCACGTGAGTCCCGGCTTCTCCTGAGGGGAGCACTTTCTTCTGGTTCACAGAGGAGAATGTCCTCTGTTGGGTTGGGGTTGGCCCTAGTGGAGGGAGGAGGCAACAAAACCGGGCTCAGGGAGATTGTGTTTCGCAGGGTGGAGTTCACGGTGGGAGACAAACCTGTGTCAAACTTCCGGATGATCGAGCGGCACTACTTTCGGGAACGCCTGCTGAAAAATTTCGACTTTGATTTCGGCTTCTGCATCCCCAGCAGCAGGAACACTTGCGAGCACATCTATGAGTTTCCCCAACTTTCTGAGGATGTCAGTACGTATCCCCCGACTTGTGCAATGTTCTGGATCTTTCAGCTTAGCAGGAGTGCACCTTGAAATGAAATCCAACTGGTCTGGCGACGCCCTTGGCAGAAAAACAGGGACATGAAGGGTCTCGAGTCACTCGACCTCAGGCTTCTCGCCTCTTGTCACTCCTGCCTCACGTCGCACACTCTGGCTCTGCTGGCGGTGGGACTCTGAAGGTGTTAACACAGGCCATCCTTTAGGGAGTCTGCTGTGGGGAAGGGTGTGATGGAGGGAGATGAGAGGAGGCCCCGACCCTCCCTGGAGCGCCCACTCCATCCACAGCCAGTCACAGTTTCACGGTTCTGGTCCTCAGCTCTTGCTCAGCACTGCGCTGGCCCTTTGCTTTCTCCTTAATCAGAGCTATGTGTGAAACTGAGCTGAGTGGGATTCTTGATCTGAGGAGCACCTCTTTCTCATTCTCTGCCAGTAGAGGGGTCATGAGATAAACTGTCAGAATAGATCAGGCAGGAAATAGCGAGCTGGTCGAGTCCTGGGAGCAGGAGTGACAGAATGGAAACAGGGTCTTAGGAGGAGATATGGGGAGGAAGACCTGGGGGAGGCACCAGGCAGGGAAGGCCAGTCCAGGGAGGAGATGGGCCTGATGACAGAGGACGAACAGGCTGTGCAGTCCTGTGGCTTCCGTCTGGCTCTCTCACATTAGCATCGGCTGTGAGTCATGAGGGGAAATTGTCCCGGAGCAATGAGGATACGACGGGATCCTGTGAGTAGTGGTGGAGTTTAGTTGAATTGTGGGCGAGGGTCTACATACACTGACCAGTTTTCTCAGAGTCCCAGATCCTTGAAAGTGTTGTTTTCTGACAAGTGTTCGGTGCTTGTGCAGCAGTGCTGTTCGCAGGTAAAGTGAGGTTTGATGAGGAGTGGGCAGGGTGCCAACTGCATCTGCTGTCATCATGATCCTGTTTTTAAAGCCCTCTCCCCAGACTGGCCTGGAACATGTTGATAATTGCAAGAGAAGATTACAGCATTTCAAGTTTTTTATCAAAGGCCAGCCATCTAACTTTCTCTCCTTGAAACCCAGATAAGCTAAAAGAGGATGGGGTCAGTCCTCTGGATGTGAGCTAAATAACGTCGGTGAGTTCAAAGAACTTGAAGCAGTCACCGTGCCTTTTGAGAACTGTGGTCAGCGACAGGGTTTCCTCCAGGGGATTCAGAATAGCACATGATCACTGACTCAGAATCAACCAGGGGTGGTGGCTCGCAGGTCCCTTGACCCTCCATTTAAAGACCTGGGGCAGCTGCCTCAACGCACAGAAGATTCAAGTCTGGGTCCCAGGACAGGTTTGCCTTTGCAGGGTCGTTGGCAAGTTAACACCATGCGCCATCTCTGAGAAGACGCCTTGCCCCCTGCACTCATGCACACCTAGGATTCCTTTGCTGTAGGGGCGCCTGTGGGTGGGCCCAGTGAGGCACCGCATTCTAATTTTGGGCCAGAATGTCTGGAGGTGGGGGCCAGAAGCACCGATCAGTCAGCTGCTTTGCTGCATGTTGGCAGACTGGCGAGCCCCTTCTGGTGTTCTGACTGGGCACCAGGCTGGCAGTGGCCTCGGAGGGCCAGGCCCAGTGCTGTGGCCTCCTGCTGTGGGAGTGGGGGGCACGCACCACCGGGGGGCCTCGGTGGTCCCAGGTCTCCCCAGCTGTCCAGGCCTGGCTCCCTCTGTTTTGACCTCGTTATTCTGACAGCACATGCTCACATTTTTAGGAAGGGCTGGTTTATGCATTTTTGTGTGTGGGTGCTCAGTCATGTCCAACTCTTTGCAACCCCATGGACTGCAGCCTACCAAGCTCCTCTGTCCATGGGCTTCTCCAGGCAAGAACACTGGAGTGGGTTGCCATTTCCTCCCCCCGGGGAGCCTGCCTGACCCAGGGCTTGGACCTGCGTCTCCTGCGTCTCCTGCATTGGCAGGCGGGCTCTTTACCACTGAGCCACCTGGGAATTTAGAGGGGATGCTAAGTTTTTTCCCACCTGGCCCATAGCGCCGACTCACACACAACTCTTTGCATTTTTTCCCTTCTCCTAACTTGCAGTTCGTCTGATGATTGAAAATCCCTATGAGACCCGTTCTGACAGCTTTTACTTCGTCGACAACAAGCTGATAATGCACAACAAGGCCGACTATGCCTATAACGGGGGCCAGTAGCAGCGGCTGGAACGGCGGGGAGGCGCCTTGCCGTGGCCCGAGGCCCCGGTGCACGGAGGTGGTTGAAGCTGTTGTCTGCCGACACGTGTCTGGGACCTGGCCCCAGGCAGCCGAGGCTGGGGTGGCAGTTTTTCCTGTGCTCCAGGAGAGGTGCCAGGCAGTGCTGTGTCTCTCTCCCCCCGTATTTTTTCCTCCCTTTGCCCCCTGCCCCTTAGGTCGCAGAAGTAGTAAAACTTAGAATAAGACTCCTGGAATCCAGATAGAAAGAAAGTTTATTTTCCCGGCTCCTCCAGGATGTCCTGATGAGCTTGGGTCCCTGCAGGCACAGCTGTACCAGGGAGAGAAGGCTCTTCTGTAGGTTCAGGGCTCTCTGCGAAGCTGAGACTCCTCCCTCACCGGCAGGGCCGCCATCAGCACACTCTGAGCTCAGCCTGAGTATCGTCCTTAACCTCCTGGGGAGGACCCTGAGCCGAGCGGAGGGGAGGATGGGGCCAGGAGTTGAGGCGCGGGGGTGGGCAAAGCTGCCGAGCCTAGGGAGCCGCTTACCTGTCTGACTTCCGGGATCTTGGCTGCTCCTCCCCGGGCACCCCCGAGGTTTCAGCCTGGCTGTGCCTTCCTGTTCTCCTTCCAGACAGAAGACGGCTTGCTCTGCTTTTCCTAGCTCCTACCTTTTGAGTTTCTCCTGAAATCGAATGTGTCCGTTTTCGCTCTGGGAACCGTAGTGTCGCTTGAGGCTAGCACAGGCCTCGTTGTTGTGTATTTTTATTTTTGGGCTTCTTGTGGGGAGGTTTTACAAAGTGTCAGGGGTGCTCCCAGCGTACGTGATGTGTGGCTAGACTTCTCCGAGTACTGATTAGGCTCCTGCGGCTCCTCTGGCCCTTGTCCCCTCTGCTTTTGTATTGAAGCTGCTCTGGAACCATCCTAGCCGGTCCCACCTAAGGAAGGCAAATCTGGTCCTGTGGACCGCTAGTTGGAATGGTCGCGGTGTTGGGAAAGGGGGAAATGGGCTGAGGAGGCCTGGCAGAGACATGTGTTCTCCAAAACGTGTCTCTTTGCACTTCCCTCAGGCCCTCATTGGGCGGACTCTCCCCGCCTCAGCTCCCTACCGCTGTCTATGTGGGCGGATGTAGGTGCTCAGGCCAAACTCCTGCCCTTCTGATGAGATTGTCGCCGTGGCCAGGGCTCAGCGTTCATAGGAAGGTCGCAGTAGGAAGCACCCAGGCACGTGGTGCCTCTGACAGGAGCGCCGTCTCCCGTGTTGGGGCGAAAGGCCGGGCGGGGCCAGGAGAGGCGGGCCTGGCCTTCGCTGCCCCGGGCTGCGCCCTGTTTGGTTTCTAGAGCGTGAGTGGCCTTCAGCTTTGGTCCAGCGCTTTGTGCCAGGCCAGAGTCTGGGCTGTGCCAGAGGCTGGCAGCTCTCTCACTGAGAGAACCCTGGTTCATCCTGGGTGCTGGCCCTGGACCCAGCCCCCAAGGGAGGAAGAAACCGGGCTCCCTGCAGGGCAGGCTGCTCACCCCAGACCCGATGAGCCCCAGAACTGGAGTTGGCCGCAAATCCAGGTGCCTTCGGCGTGGCTCCTTCCCGTCCCTGGCGGACCGACATCAGCACTGCCTCTTCACTTCTCTCACTGGGGCACCTTCAGCAGATCTGTGTTTGTTGGGGTTTGGAGTAACCCCTTCTCTCTGCGACAAGCCCAGTCGGGAGAGTTTCTACTATTTGATGTTTTAATTACTATCTAGGAAATGGTTTGGAGCTGCCCAGAGCTCTGCTCAGGAGACCGTGTCCCAGACAGACCCCGTCTTGTGGGCTCGTGGGCTGTCCCTCGCCTGCAGTGTTAGCGGTTGCTGGGAGGAGGGCAGGAGTGGGGGAGGAGGCCGGTGTTCTGGCTTGAAGAGTGCTGCACCCTGTTCCCAAGAACTTGCCTTAGTCTCACTGGAGACCACTATGAGGCCGAGCGCCTGCTCTGTGCTCGGTGGCATAGGGATTGATCCCCTTCTGCACTTGAAGGTCTGGTGTCTGTACCTGGGACTCCAGATTCTTGTGTCCAGCTACTCAGGAAACCTTGAGAGGCATCTGGGGTGTTAACTAGGATAAGTCTGAAATTAACCCTTCTGTACCCGAACTGGGGAGAGAATTGGAAATTATACTTTCTCTGAAAGTAGCTGAACTCATCAGAAGCTGAATCAGGAGGCCGTGGCATTGAGAAGTATGGACTGTGGGCAGCAGTTACCTACCTGTGGGCACTGGGGTGGCAGGACAGAAACTGCCTGCCCAGGGAGACACACCCTCCCTCTGTTCAGAGCTGGCACCAGTGAGGCAGCTCCTGGAGGGAACACATCCCAGCCGACCGGCTCGCCCTGCTGTGGCCAGAGGGCCTGCCGCCTGCACCCCTCCTTCTGTCTCGCTCCTGTCCTGCCCTGGAGGCTCCTGGGAGAGCACCTTTCTTTTCCTGTGGCGCCTTTGGGCTAAGATACCCTTTTAGCTTCTGCAGAGAAGACCATGGTTTATTTTATTCTATGTTTTAAAGAGTAAACAGGAAATAAGTAAAAGTAGTTCTGGGATAAAGTAGGTCATCCTCTCCTCATATGTCAGCTTATAGCTGTCTTGCAGGGAACGCAAGTTTTCAGGGCTTTGCAGGACTTCCTGAAGGCACTCACAGTCTGGACCACCGATTCTCAAATATAGGCAGTGATTTGGGGATCTTGGAGCTCTCCTTAGACTGGAGAGTCTTGACGTGGCAATAGCTGGGGGGATCTTCAACTTGTTTTTTCAGTCGAAGTGGGACTCATTTCTGGAATGGCCTTAACAGGCTGTGTCCAGCACGCCCGTTGGGTGTCTTGCCACCCTTGATATTCTTAGTTCAGTGCTCCCAGTACTGTTACTTTTTTCTGTAAAGTCACTTTCTTCCTGGTGGCCGTTGTCACTGCGACATCAGTGAGGTTGGGGAATGGGGGCCATTCTCAGGATTACGGCACAGACTCAGTGTCTGTGGGTGAGGACCCCTGCTGCAGAGGGTGCCGCTTTACCCGGTGAAGGAGCCTAAGTGTCGATCATGTTTCTCACATTCCATGTCACGGAACGTCTTAGGCACAAGAAGGAGGTGGATTTACCCCTTGTATACAGAGGTTCACTTAAAGTCATTGAACTTGTGAAAGTCTATTTTTTCCCCCCGTAAATCTATTTTTCACAGAATATAAGAAACGTCAATGACCAAATCTGTCCTTCCTCCCTTTCCCCTTCACCTAAGATCCTCATTCCAGTTTGTATTGTCTTTATGTCCAAAGTAAACTAGGTGACTTATTTGTATAAAATGTTATTTTGCCACAAGAGACAGTAATAAAAGAAAGATTTTCACAGTATGTGTGCCCTCTCGTGTCTCCTGACTGGGCCTCTTGCTTCGCAGGGGGAGTAGGTGGAGTCGGGGTGGCCTTTCTGTAAATACTGGTTTAATGGGTAGCGCTGGTTTCTAGAGTGATTAGGACATAGTATTGTGCTTTAGGTTTCATGTATTTTTGCTTTACATTTTAATAAAATGCTTTCAGAATTTAAAATGCATATATATTTTAAAGTTAGGTTCATTGAGGTGTGTTTTAACCATACCTCATTTAAAAGTAAATTCAACCCATTTAAGAGTATGGTTTGATGAGTTTGATAAATGGATACCTGATCACAGTCATGATAAAGGATGTTTTCATCACTCTGGAAAGTTTCCTGGTGTCTGCCGCCCCCCCAGTTCCCTCCCTCCATCCAACCTCTTGCAACCAACTTCTGAGTTTTTTTGGAAAACATGCATACTTTTAATATAAAACTTATATCCATGTTTAAGGTCACAAACAATGTAAGTTAAAAATAACTCTTGTTTAGACAGTTAGTGGCACCTGAAGGTCTGTTGGCCTCTGCCTACAAACACTCATTTATTTTCCCCTTCACTTCCCCCTTCTACCCAGGGCTGGTGCCCAGGTGCGATAGTAAAAGGTGAGGAAGCCTCAGAGGAGCATTTGCCAACGACAGTAAATGTACTCTAGGTTTAGAGGCTTTCTTTTGAATGCATTTCTTTTAAATGCAAGTTAATATAGAAGCACCAAGTCAGTGGACATGAATTTGAGCAAACTAAGGGAGATAGTGGAGGACAGAGGAGCCTCGTGGGCTACAGTCCTTGGGGTTGCAAAGAATTGGACATGACTTAGTGACTTAAGGAACAAAACATTTGAAAGACTGCCACATCTTTTAATAGATCTTCAGAAAGCAGAGCAAGTTCTGGTTTCAGCCTGAGACAGTCGGCTGGCTGAGTTAATGGGAGAAGAAAGGCAGCTGGAGGGACTGGGTTCCTGGGTGCATGTGGTTGGTTCCTGGAACCTGTGAAGTCTGACTCACACCTGGGCCCATGGAAGATGCTTGTCAGGCAAGAGAAATCGCTGTAATTTTGGGGGGCGGGGTGAAGGGGTCCTGACAAACGACAAAATGCAGGGAATTAGGGCACAGCGTTCAAGGCTCCCGTTGGAGGGGTAGGTGGGGTGCTCTGCTCCACAATTGGGAGTGAGACGTGGGACCACATGGGGACAGGGAAGCATCAGTGCTGCCCCACCTTCACAACCTCCTAGCACCCCAACTCCTTATGCCAAGAGAATGAGCAGCAGCGTAAGATCCTTGCCCCACTGGGCACTCACAGGCTAGTAGGGGACTTGGTAAGATTTCAGATGCTACCTGCCAGAAATAATGGGATGGAGAGTTTGCCAGGGGAAGCACCGGCTTCCTCAGGGAGGTGTTGATGGGAAGGAGTCTTCCAGTGGAGGGAATGGTGACTGCAAAGGCCCTGAGGCAGGAAGCAGCTAGAGATCCTGGAGAAAAGCTGCACTGTGAGGCTTCAGCGGGGGCGCGGTGGGTTTGGGGTAGGGGAAGGCTAAGTGGAGTTTTTTTAGATCATGGAACTGGATTTTAGGAGAGAGCTAGGCTCGCCCCCTGAAGAGTTTTAAGGTCAGCCTAAAACCGGGAAATCAACCCTGAATATTCATCGGAAGGACTGAAGCTGAAGCTCCAATACTTTGACCACTTGATGCGAAGAGCCGACTCATTGGAAAAGACCCTGATGCCGGGAAAGACTGAAGGCGATTGAAGGCAGGAAGAGAAGGGGACGACAGAGGATGAGATGGTTGGATCGCACCACCGACTCAATGGACATGAATTTGAGCAAACTCCGGGAGATGGTGAAGGATAAGGAAGCCTGGCGGGCTTCAGTTCATGGGGTCGCAAAGAGTCGGATACGACTTAGCGGGCTGAACAACAACAGAACCAGCTTCGGAGACTTTCCCTAAAGAGTTGGAATATCTCCGAGGCGGGGCTGGTGGGCTGAGGCGGGGCTCAGGAGCACCCGCGGCCAGCCCCGCCCCCGGAGCTCGAGGGCTCGCGAGTACCGCCCCGAGGCCCGAGGGGCGGGGCTCCCGACCGGCGCAGGTCCCTCCCCGCGCGGCCCCGAGGTCGCCGGGAAGAAGTCGAGTACAGTCACCAGCCCGCCGTGTCTGTCCTCCATGGCTGCCACGCTGCTCATCCGGGCCTGTGGCCTTGTCCGCGGAGGTGAGTGCGTTCCGACCCCGCACAGTGGGGCGGCGGGAGGGGCGGGCGTGGGTCCGGGCAGCGGGTTCACCCCCGCAGCAGGGCGGGCGGCCGGTCGGTGCCCCTCCTGATCGCGAGGCCTTTGCCCCAGGCTGCTTCTCGCGCCTGCGTGGCCTCGGCCCCTGCTCCGACCCCCAATCCCAGCCCCCTTCTCACACTGCACCCACCCTCCCCCCCGCCACACACACACATTTATTGCACCTGCGGAGGAGGTTCAGGGTGCGCCATTCCTAGGGTGCCAGGTCTGGGGTTGAACCCAGACTGTGCATCTGTGACCTTGGGCCCTTGTGTGAAGCGACCACAGTAATACTGCTGTTCTCCTAGAGTTGTTACAAGGATTAAAACACAGGTGCCTGGCAGATTACAGGAGCTCACTGGTAGCCTCTTTTCCATCTTCTAATTTCTCTACCCTGTAGCAGCAGTGGCCCCTGTGGCCAGGGCTTCCTTTGCCTGATCAAGACCCACTCACCCTGAATAATAATAAAGGGGACCCTCTTTGAGAGCTGTTGGTACTCTCAGCAGGGTTAAGTGCTAAGTGCTACAGTTAGTTTTCATGGTTCTAGCCCAGGAGCAGAGTACTGTTGTCCTCCACATTTAGAGAAACCAGGGAAGTTAAGATCCTTGCCTGAGGTCACAGAGTTGTGCTCTTACTGTTACTGGTGTAGGACAGTAGGCTCTACTGTTACATGAGTAGGACTGTTGTACAAAGTATTCAGCAAACATGGTGAACATTCCATTCTATTCTCAGCAGCAGTGTTAGTGACATTTTGGGCCCCTAGTTCTTTGTCGTGGGTTCCGTCCTGTACAATGTTTAGCAGTATTCCTGGCTTCTCCCCACTCCCTACCACCCACCAGTTGAGACAACCAAAAATGTCTCTGGACTTTGCCAGATGTCCCCTGGGGGACCCGAGTCATCTGTGGTGGAGAATCACCCAGTAAGTGAAAAAGTGAAAATGAAAGTGTTCGTCACTCAGTCATGTCCAACCCTGTGACCCCATGGACTGTAGCCTGCCAGACTCCTTTGTCCATGGAATTCTCCAGGCAAGAATACTGGAGTGGATAGTCATTCCCTTCTCCAGGGGATCTTCCTGACCCAGGGATCGAACCTGGGTCTCCCGCATTGCAGGCAGTTTCTTTACCATTTGAGCCACCAGGGAAGCCCACCCAGTAAGTGGATCATCGTTATTATTATTACTACATGAGACCTCTTGCATTCCCTTTCCACTGACTCCTCTTCTCTCTGGCAGCCCCCCGGCCTTGGGCCTGGCGTCGCCTACATACCGTCTACCAGTCTGTTGAACTGCCCGAGACTCACCAGATGCTGCGGCAGACGTGCCGCGACTTTGCCGAGAAGGAGCTCTTTCCCATCGCAGCCCAGGTGGACAAGGAGCATCGCTTCCCAGCAGCTCAGGTGAGAATTCCGCCCTCAGCACCCAGTGATGGAATCTGTCGTCTGCTCCAGGATAACTGGTGATGGTAACAGCCAGAGGCAGCGACACTGCAGTCAGGGAACCCTCAGGGCACGTGATCCTGGGAGCCAGAAAATGCCCTGGAGGCTTCTGCTCTCCAGCATGAGGCCTGTAGCCAGGATAATAACTTCTGGAATAACAGTAATCATGGTGGATGATTGCTATGCTAACTATATACCAGGCATTGTGTTGATAATTATAGTTAACACTTATGCTTACATGTGCTTGGCACTCTCCTAAGTGCTTATGGGTTAGCACACCTGTTTCTTTTCTTTTTTTGGCTGCACCATGTGTGATGCAGGATGTTAGTTCCCTGAGCGGGGATTGAACTCATACCCCCTTCAGTCGCGTCTTGGAGTCTTAACCACTGGACCACTAGGGAAGTGCCTAGCTTATCTATCTATTAAAACTGTCCAATGAGGTGAAGGTGCCATTGTTTTGTATCCTGTTGTGTAGTTGATGAAACTCAGATTGATGAGGGGAGTAAATGATGTGCCCAAGGGCATGGAGCTAATGAGTTACAGAGCTAAGGTTCTAGCCCATCTTCTCCAGCCGCTGAGATCCTGGTCAGTGCGTCCTCCCTGTGTCACTGTATCATTCCTGTGAGGACAAGTGCTTCTGCTCTGCTCTCCCATCGGATTTAACAAGTTGTCTGGTACATGGTTATAAACACTTGGTAGACATTTGTTGAGATAACTTGTGATAAAGTGATTCTGTCTGGCCTTCACGCCCTGTTTGCCCGTCTGGGGAATTCAAAAAACTTGTGGTCATTGTTACCATGCTTCTTCAGCCTTGGGGCCACTTTCCCATCTTAGTGCATGTTGTGTGTTCACAGTGTACTGGGCACTGTGCCTTGACTGTTGATATAACATCTAAAGAGCTCAAAGTAGGGTAGGTGGGTGGCATTCTGAGCACCAACATGAGTTGGGCAACTTTTATGTGGTAAGCCTTAAAGTCATCATTATCCCATTTAGTCCTAAAGGCATCCCCAGCTGCAGGTCTAATCTCCATTTGGCTTCCTGGAATGGTTGTGAGGATTGTAGGTGATCATGTATGTCAAGTTCATGGTGCATTTGAAAAACAGAAGCTATTAATACTCTTATTTTTACCACAGTTGAGAAACTTGAAGCACCAAGAGGGGATGTGACTTTCCAAGGCTTACCGATCTGGGGGGCCAGAATTCATGCTCCAGGTGTAGTAGGCTCCAAAACCCTGCTCCACCCACTAGCCACAGGGTGTCCCAGAAGCCCAGCTGGGAAGCCCTGTTCTGGTTGGAAATATTATCCTCCATAGCCACACACTCTGGTGCTGTCCCAGGGCCGTTTTCTATGACGTGGCCATATATTGCAGCTTTTCCTGCCTAATGACAGACAACTTGATTTTTTTTTTCTATATCCCTTCAGATTACTTATTATGTAACACTTATGCTTACCTAAAAAAGCTGGCAGTAGCAGCAGGCTTTCTACCAACCTGCTCTTAACCAGTTCTTTGGCTTTATTATCTCTTACTTACTTTCTAGGGCTGGGGAATTTGTAAATTAACCCTGCCACTAAATAGTGGTAGAAAAGGATGTGGAAGGAAGAGACCAAAGGCACCAGTCTCCTTCCCTTCTGGCACATTCTAGCACACAGAGGCTGTCTAGTCCAGACTTGGTGAATGGATTAGCTAGCTTAGAGTAGTGATACCATTTGTTATTTCATTTTATCTTGGATAAGTGTCTTCATATCTGTAATCCTATTAGGTTATCAGGAGTCCTGCCATTATTTCCTTGGCCTAGAGGAGAGAACTGTACAAAAAAGGTCTTAATGACCTGGATAACCACTATCCAGAAGAAGAACCAGAAGTCCTGGAGTGCCAAGTCAAATGGGCCTTAGGAAGCATTACTACCAACAAAGCTAGTGGAGGTAACAGAATTGTAGCTGAGCCATTTCAGATCCTAAAAGATGATGCTGTGAAAGTGCTACATTCGATATGCCAGTAAATTTGCAAAACTCAGCAGTGGCCACAGAACTGGAAAAGGTCAGTTTTCATTCCAATCCCAAAGAGGGGCAATGCCAAAGAATGTTCAAACTGCCACACAGTTGCACTCATTTCACTTGTAAGCAAGATAATGCTCAAAACCCTTCAAGCTAGGCTTCAACAGTACATGAACCGAGAACTTCCAAATGTGCAAGCTGGATTTAGAAAAAGCACAGGAACCAGAGATCAAATTGCCAACATCCACTGGATAATTGAAAAAGCACGAGAGTTCCAGAAAAACATCTGCTTCATTGACCATGCTAAAGCCTTTGACTATGTGGATCACAACAAACTGTGGAAAATTCTTCAAGAGATGGGAATACCAGACCACCTGACCTGCCTCCTGAGAAATCTGTACAGAAGTTAAGAAGCAACAGTTAGAACTGGACATGGAACAGCAGACTGGTTCAGAATTGCAAAAGGAGTACATCAAGGCTGTATGTTGTCACCCTGTTTATTCAACTTGTCTGCAGAATACATCATGTAAAATACCGGGCTGGATGAATCACAAGCTGGATTGAAGATTGCTGGGAGAAATATTAATAATCTCAGATATGCAGATAACACCACACTTAAGACAGAAAGTGAAGAGGAACTAAGGAGCCACTTGATGAAGTGGAGAGTGAAAAAGTTGGCTTAAAACTCAACATTCAGAAAACTAAGATCATGACATCCAGTCCCATCATGTCATGGCAAACAGATGGGGAAATAATGGAAACTGACAAACTTTCTTTTTCTGGGCTCCAAAATCACTGTGGATGGTGACTGCAGCCATGAAATTAAAAGATGCTTGCTCCTTGGAAGAAAAGCTATGATAAACCTAGACAGTGTATTAAAAAGCAGAGACATCACTTTGCCTACAAAGGTCTGTATAGTCCTTATGTAAGCTATGGTTTTTCTAGTAGTCATGTATAGATGTGAGGGTTAGACCATAAAGAAGGCTGATTGCCAAAGAATTGATGCTTTTGAAGTGTGGTGCTGGACAAGACTCTTGAGAGTGCCTTGGGCTGCAAAAAGATCAAACCACTCAATCCTAAAGAAAATCAACCCTGAATATTCACTGATGCTGAAACTCCAGTACTTTGGCCATCTGATGCAAAGAGCTGACTCATTGGAAAAGACCCTGATGCTGGGAAAGATTGAAGGCGGGAGGAGAAGGGGACAACAGAGGATATGTTTGGATAGCATCACCGACTGAATGGACATGAGTTTGAGCAAGCTCTGGGAGATGATGAAGGACCGGGAAGCCTGGCGTGCTGCAGGCTTAGTGACTGAACAACAGAGAAAAGGAACAGTTGTAGAAATTGCCTGAGGTTGTAGGGCTTGGGGTGAAATAGCGCTAAATCTTCTGATCTCTGATCTTGCCACTGCCTCGCATGAATTGGACTCTCTCATTTTGGTCACTGATGGGATGCAGTGGTTGCCCAAGGTGTCCCTTTGCTGAGGATCAAAGCGTATTGGCTCATTGCTTTTCTCACTGTCTCTGTTACTATGGGTGGTGCTCAGCTATAGTTAACAGAAGGAAATCCAGGACTTAAACAAGCAGAAGGATCAAAACTGTAGACACAGGGGACAGGCTGAAAAATTAAAAATAATACCATTTGTGTTTTACAATGACGACAGTAATAATAACAGGAGTGACTCTCATTCCAGGTTGCTGTCCAGGCGCTCAGTCGTGTCTGACGCTTTGCGGCCACATGGACTGTAGCCCGCCAGGCTCCTGTGTCCTCCACTGCCTCTTCGAGTTTGCTCAAATTCTGTCCATTAAGTTGGTAATTTTCATGTACTTACCCTTAAATCGTCAACAAGACACTCAGGCAGTTTTGTCATTGATCTCCAGTTTTCAGATGAGGAAACAGAAGCCAGGAATTACATTTCTCGGTCAATAAAGCCACAGGGCTGGGATCAGAGGAGCCAGATGTAGATTCTGTGCTCCCTCCAACCTGCAGGAGATGCTTAGTTAGTGTTTTCTAATATTTTGTTTCCTGAAGACTTTTCTCCCAGGAAAAGTGGGTTTCCTGGGGAAGAGTCAAGGGGAGAAGAGTTGAGAGGTGGACTGGCCGTGAAGGAGGCTGAAGACTAGTGCCAGCTTCTGCTCATTTGGCTGGTCTTGTAATCCAGGTTGAACTTTGGACTTTCTGTGTCCAAACCTACCTCCTACAACTCCTGGGGGGGAAAATGGAACAATTATGAATATATAATGCTATTATGTAATAAAGGGAAATTAGAAATAGAATGGTGTTTCCAAACCAGCTTTGGACTCTGGAACCTGGGAATGTATATGTGCATTTTTATCTGTTTATATATTTTTGGCTGTACTGTGTGGCTTGGAGGATCTTAGTTCCCCAATTAGGGATCGAACCCAAGTCCCCTGCAGTGGAAGCACCACGTCCTAACCACTGCAGCTGCCAGGGAAGTCCCGAATGTGCGTGTTTATATCTGGAAAACTGAACCCAGTCTCTCTTCCTTCACTCAGTGAATGTTGATTGAGTAAGTTTAATATATTGGGTGCAAAATCTGCTTTTCCTCCTCTTTCCCTAATGTCAGATGATAGTTTACCACGTCCATAGAAGCCTCTGGAGCCATACTCCATTTTCCCTCTTATTCGTATGCACAGATTCTTGTTAACGCCACCCTGGCGGTGTCCCCTGAATAGCATCACCTTTCACCTCTCCTACCAAGAATTCGTCACTCTGTGTTCATAATCCCTGGTTATCTGGGTGTGCTAGTCATGCTATTGTGTGTGCCATATGTCCCAGTTATTTTCTAAGGTTGCCTTCCTGAAGGCCAGGCTTGTTCAAACCCCTACCTCCTGGCCCAGCAAAAGACCTCCTTGCCAAGTAAGTGCTTGGCATTCAGCAGACATTTGCTGAGTGGACTTGAACTTTTTGGTCAAGTCATCCTGAATGTTCTTCCTGTCCCA